GGAATGCGAAGGCCAATGGAAAGGAATGAGAAGACCAATTGAAAGGAATGAAAAGGCAAATGGAAAGGAATGAGAAGACCAATAGAAAGGAACAGTTACAGCCAAGCCTCCCGCAAAGTGTGAGCAATCCACGGTCAAATCTTGGCAGCTTGTGTGCGGAGACCGCGAGAACTATTGCCAGATTTGCCATGTGGGGCAATCTCAATATTGAGCGACCATGTGGAGCGAACTTCGACTAGCCAACTAAGTCATGTTTGTCTCATGTATCAATTTTGCGTTCTCGAGCTGGACAACACAAGGTTGCGCATTTGTATTTTGAGCCATGAACAGTTCTTGGGCAAGAACCATTTCATTTCTAGACATCGTGCTGTCTAGGCTTGCATTGGTTTTCAACCAACATGACTGGCAGTTTGCAGAACATCGCTAACCAGGGTTTGCTGTGTAACAAACTCGCGTGGCAATGCAAAGGGCCACCTTCTTTGTGTATAGGCCGTATTTGATGGGGGCCCCTTCGCACAAGCATCGCACGGGCATTTTGCCGCAGAAGCACGTTGCAAGTTAGCACAATCGGTGGTTGAATGTTGCAGACATGTAAGGTCACCAAGTCACCCTGCATTCTTGTCTATGCTTTTGCCTGCCTGCTCGATACTTCAATGCCATGGCAGTTGATGGCCACTTCCATCCAGCCTGCAAGCAGGGAGCGGTTGTGTGCATGGAGAAGGCACGTTTGTCTGTGGTTCCCGGCCCATTCAACTACTTGGGTATGCACATTACAGACATTTTTTTGTTTGCCGTCTGTGGCCATGTCGGAACTCTCCTCACCTCGATTTCCCGCGGCATGTTTTTTGTTTTGTTTTTTGTTTTTTTGAGGTGGCTGTGTCACATCAAAGAGCTCTGGCCGGGCGATGATGATCGACTACCTCTTCGTGGACGCCCGCTTTCGCGCCCAGCCGCTCGCCGAAAGGTTTGCCTTGCGATGCGCATGCGGGGAATGGAGGGTAGACCCTCAGTGCCCATGCCTGCCATGTGGCCAGACGTTGTCAGACACGACCTTTCAGCGAAGTTCGTTCAACTGATTTGTTTGGCTTCGGGAACTGGCCACCGTGCCGTCTTGGTCCTGTCTAGGCAAGCGTTTGGGTAGAAATGACACAGTGAGGTGCTCAGGCATTGCTTGCAACCAGTTCAGGGCTTTTGAGCCGCATTCAGATTTCCGTAGGTAAGATGTTGAGATGTTGAGGAGCTGAGGTATGCTGGGGCTTGCATGGAAGCTCGGCCCAAGCTCGAGCCAGACAGCATTCCAGATGTGAACAATGAGCATCCTGCAGCTTGGCTGTGATCAAACAAGTGCAATTCAGCGATCAAACTTGGTGGTGCTAGTCAATATGCGTTGTCTGTTTACACAACATATAAAGACCTGCCTGGTATCTGGCAAACAACAAAACCCAAAATAAAACAAAAAATACCCAACTTAAATCTCGACCCAAACAATTTTGGAGCCTCGCGAGGCTCCAAGTTGTTTGGGACAGGTGAATTATGAGAATTCATCTAGAGAATCCCTGGGGTTCGAGGGCCTTAAAATGGGGAACGTCCTTTGTTTGCAAGCTGGACGCCTTTAATTGGGTTGACAGTTTTGTGTTGGCCGCATTAGTAGCCACATGGCTTTGCAGTGCTTGTGGCTGAAAAGTACGCTTTCCAAAGCCTTGCGAAAACCATGTAGACATGTTGAAGCTGGTCAATGCTCAAGGTCTTCAACTTTGTGGGATTTCTAGAGACATTGATCACGGGCTTAGCAATGGGAAAGCGACAAGGAAAAGCGTGAAAATACCGTGAAATTGGCGTGAACGCCCTTTTTTTGCAGTGAAAGACCGTGAAACGCCGTGAAATTTGGCAGGCGAAAAACCACATTCGTCCTGGCTGGCGTTGTTTTCTGCTGGGTTTGAAAAGGTCTTGCTGAATGGATGTTTCGGGAAGACCATGATTGTGCCATTGATGATGCGGAAATGTGCTGCTTTAACTTTGAGGCCTTCGCAAGTCTAGCTTGGTGTGGAAAAGGCTTGTTGCTGAAGATGTAAAGTTGGAATTCCACCCAGGCTCCCATCCCCCAGCTAGTCAAACAAAGGATGTTCATGTAACGGCCTTTGTTTTAAAAGCCTTTTACCCCCCAGGGGAATGTCAGGTAGAGCTCTCGGACCATTTCGCTCTGACCGCGCTGCTGAGCCTGGCTTGAGGGACCCATCAGGTATTTCAGCTGCCTGGATGGTGCGGATGCCAATCTCCCAGGACATGAAGCAAGAAAGAACGAAGGGCGAGGGCCCCTTCTCTTTCCCACTGAACGCCCGGGACGAACCAACTGGATTTTGCTTCTTGGCATCAGCAAACCAGATGTGTTTCGTAATGCTGTTTATGAGACCAGGCCCCAACGCTTCAAAATTAGTCATGGTTGGCCCCAACGCTTTTGGAACGGAGTTTTGGTTGGAGCATCCATGCAGGGACGTTCCAGCGTTTCGTCTCACGCTGAAGCTCAATGAAAAGGAGATGGGGCTGCTTGTTCCTTTTGGGCAGCTGCGCAGCGTTGCTTGCGTTTGTAAGGGGCTGCATTTGCTCCATGGGCGCTTCACTGCTGATTGTGATTGATGGGCTTCTCACAGCAATACGGATGCATAAGTTGTATGATTGGTCATTGGTCACATCATTCCCATGATTCAATGATTGCAAGACCCTGGCGTTGCTCAGCTATGTCAATGTTGGGTGACTGTTGGTGGCTAGTGGCTGGTGTTGCACACGGCCAGTGTCATTCCATTGCAATTGAGGCTTGAAACTCCTTTGTCCCCCTCTCTCGCCATGTCTAGGCATAGAGAGCTGAAGGCAATTCTTTGTTTTTTTAATCCACAATCTCGTAGAAGGGGTACTGACTGATGGAAGGATGCAGTAGGAATCCTGGAGCACATCAGTAAAGCACGTCATACTTGTGCTACCTTCCCTTCGGCTACCCTGCAAGCTCCAAGTAACCTTCGCATGCACGTCCCTGTGACTTCCCTCCGGTCAGATGCTGCACACCAGCGTTGCATCCAGAGACTGCGCCTGCGAGGTGTGCTTTGCAAGAGATGCGCACGCGCCAAACTCAAGCTGACTTAGAGCTTTGTGGTGCTTAATTGCCAATCTCGACCATGGCGGACTCCAAGGTCAAGGACATGGGCCTGGCAGAGTTCGGCCGCAAGGAGCTTACCTTGGCTGAGCACGAGATGCCAGGCCTCATGGCGGCCAGGAAGGAGTACGGCCCTGGGCAGCCGTTCAAGGGCTTGAACATCAACGGCTCTTTGCACATGACCATCCAGACAGGTGTGCTCATCGAGACTCTGAGCGCTTTGGGCGCAAAGGTGCGCTGGTGCTCTTGCAACATCTTCAGCACGCAGGACCATGCTGCGGCTGCCATTGCCAAGGCCGGCACGTCCACTGTGTTTGCCTGGAAGGGCGAGACCCTGCCGGAGTACTGGTGGTGCACGGAGCAGATGATGACAGTGCCGGGTGCGGATGGCTGCGACCAGCTTGTGGACGACGGAGGTGATGCCACACTGCTGATGCACAAGGGCAAGGAGTTCGAGGAGAAGTATGCAAAGGATGGCAGCCTGCCAGACCCAGCCAGCACCACCAACGCGGAGTACAAGTGCATCCTGCAGCTGCTGAAGGACTCCATCCCGGCGGACAAGACGAAGTACACGCGCATGGCGGCCAAGTGCAAGGGTGTCAGTGAGGAGACCACTACGGGTGTGCACCGTCTTCGTGAGATGGCTGCCAAGGGTGAGTTGCTGTTCCCAGCCATCAACGTCAACGATTGTGTGACTAAGTCGAAATTCGACAACGTGTACGGCTGCCGCCACTCCCTGCCTGACAGCATCATGCGTGCCACGGACGTGATGATCGGTGGAAAGCGCGCGCTTGTGGCAGGCTATGGAGATGTGGGCAAGGGCTGCGCTTTTGCTATGAGGGGTGCAGGCGCCCGCGTGCTGATCACAGAGATTGACCCCATTTGCGCGCTGCAGGCGTGCATGGAGGGCTTCCAGGTGGTGACCACCGAGGAGGTGGTTGGCGAGGTGGACATTTTCACTTCGGCCACTGGCAACTTCAAGATCATCACGCTGGATCACATGAAGAAGATGAAGAACAACGCCATCGTGTGCAACATCGGGCACTTTGACAACGAGATTGCCATGGAGGACCTCGAGAACTTCCCCGGCATCAAGGTGGAAAACATCAAGCCTCAGGTGGACCGATTCGTCTTCCCCGATGGCCATGGAGTCATTGTGCTGGCTTCTGGCCGGCTTGTGAATCTTGGGTGTGCTACTGGCCACCCATCCTTCGTCATGTCTTGCTCCTTTACCAACCAGGTGTTGGCGCAGCTGGACATCCTGGAGAATTGCACTAAAGCCAAGAAGTACAAGAACGATGTCTACCTGCTGCCCAAGCAGCTGGACGAGAAGGTGGCGGCGCTGCATCTGCCGGCACTTGGTGCCCACCTTACGAAGCTGAGCAAGGAGCAGGCCGACTACATTGGCGTGAAGACAGATGGCCCCTTCAAGCAGGACACCTACCGTTACTAGGTTCTTGGATGTCTTATTGAACAGCTTGAGCAAAGCTCAAGTCAGTTTTGACACATCTTCATTTTCTCGCGGAATGGTCCCACTTGGCGGCGCATCAGACAGCTGAGCGCGGATCCCAAGCAGAAGTGGCCTGACTGCTGGAGTTCATTTTGTGCGTGCCAGAAAGGGACAGATTGCCGCCCCGCATTGCATTGTGTATTTCAGTCGAGATGAGGGGGTGTTCTTCAATCGGCCACGTCTTCCTTGGCACTTTTCAGGGCAACACAGAAGGACAGCGTCCTCGAATGTACGGCATAGGTGTGCCGACTCGGTCACACGGAAGCCTGTTGTTGGCTTAGATCGCATGCATCCGACCGCGGAGACTTGAGATAAGGGTGCCAATCTATCTTGGGGCGCGGCCAGGAGTTGTACCGGAATGCCTACAACTTGGTACTGCACAAGTCACTTGGTGTGAAGGGCTGAAAAGTGGCTTTTCCCAGGGTCGCAGGGTGCGCTGCGCACCCGAGCCAGTGTCAGTCTCTGGCAACACCGGTCACGTTGCCACCATGTTAGCGCACACGGTGATGATGTGCTTTCACAGCCAAGGGTTGCGCTTGCTTGATGCTTGAGCTGGCTTGCTCAGGCTTGCTCCAAAAGGGCTCGCCCCGAGCTGCGCATAGACTCCGTGATCCATGTTGGTAGGTCTGAGACCGTTAATTGATTTTGAAATTTGTTTGAACAACATCAGATGGACAAGCGGTCGTGAGGTCATTTGAAGTGAATGGGCGAGGCAAACACCGGACAACTAAACCAGTTTGACACAACTTGATAGTATCGGGGCCTCCTTTGCTTGACAGGCGCACTTGGCCTGGCAAACTTTCCGATGCTCCTGTGACATAGACCGGAAAGTCACCAAGTCACAGCGTCGCCCATGCTTCCCCCCCTTTTAAGGACTCAGGGGTTAAACAAATGCGTTTTGAGCGATGCTCTGGGGACGGATCAAGCACAACTATGCTTTGCTAGGTCCCTCAGTAGTGCCCTTTTACCCTTTTGTGGGGGAGGGTTCCCCTACTAAAATACACTACTGAAAAAAGGGTACCCTTATTCTAACCTGTCTACTGGAGGGCCTAGTCTGGGATTCCCATTTTGGAAGAGCCCCAGCTTGGGCTTTGAGCGCGCAGTTCTTATCCAGCCCCAATATCGCGCAGCCCATGGGCCCCATGGGCCCCATGGGCAACGTGCATGTCGGAGAGCTGAAAGAGGGTTGCTCGCTTTTCAGTCTTCATGCCCAAATAATCCCGTTCCCCTAATACCCCCCCAAATAATCAATATTCTTTGGGGCCCATAAAACGTTCAAAGTCGTGTTTCCGTTTTTGCGGTTCAAAAGTAAAAGGCGCAATTTAAGTTTAGAAATTACAGTTGAAGAAGTAGATATTAATGAGTAAAAGGTAATATAAAAATACTTTAGAGCCTCCGGCTCAGTCCGCCGACATTGTCCTCTCCCTTTTCTCCTTCTTCCTCTCTCCCTTGTCTCCCTGGTGTGTTCTGTCGTCCTCTCTCCCTCCCTCCGCTCCCCATCCTCCCCATCCCCCCAAGCCACTCTCTCCCCAATCTCCCTCTCTCGTATGTATGTATGTATGTATGTATGTATGTATGTATGTATGTATGTATGTATGTATGTATGTATGTATGTATGTATGTATGTATGTATGTATGTATGTATGTATGTATGTATGTATGTATGTATGTATGTATGTATGTATGTATGTATGTATGTATGTATGTATGTATGTAATGTATGTATGTATGTATGTATGTATGTATGTATGTATGTATGTATGTATGTATGTATGTATGTAATGTATGTATGTATGTATGTATGTATGTATGTGTATGTATGTATGTATGTATGTATGTATGTATGTATGTATGTATGTATGTATGTAATGTATGTAATGTATGTATGTATGTAATGTAATGTAATGTAATGTAATGTAATGTAATGTAATGTAATGTAATGTAATGTAATGTAATGTAATGTAATGTAATGTAATGTAATGTAATGTAATGTAATGTAATAATGTAATGTAATGTAATGTAATGTAATGTAATGTATGTATGTATGTATGTATGTATGTATGTATGTATGTATGTATGTATGTATGTATGTATGTATGTAATGTATGTATGTATGTATGTATGTATGTATGTATGTATGTATGTATGTATGTATGTATGTATGTATGTATGTATGTATGTATGTATGTATGTATGTATGTATGTATGTATGTATGTATGTATGTATGTATGTATGTATGTATGTATGTATGTATGTATGTATGTATGTATGTATGTATGTATGTATGTATGTATGTATGTATGTATGTAATGTATGTATGTATGTATGTATGTATGTATGTATGTATGTATGTATGTATGTATGTATGTATGTATGTATGTATGTATGTATGTATGTATGTATGTATGTATGTATGTATGTATGTATGTATGTATGTATGTATGTATGTATGTATGTATGTATGTATGTATGTATGTATGTATGTTATGTATGTATGTATGTATGTATGTATGTATGTATGTATGTATGTATGTATGTATGTATGTATGTATGTATGTATGTATGTATGTATGTATGTATGTATGTATGTATGTATGTAATGTATGTATGTATGTATGTATGTATGTATGTATGTATGTATGTATGTATGTATGTATGTATGTATGTATGTATGTATGTATGTATGTATGTATGTATGTATGTATGTATGTATGTATGTATGTATGTATGTATGTATGTATGTATGTATGTATGTATGTATGTATGTATGTATGTATGTATGTATGTATGTATGTGTGTGTATGTATGTATGTATGTATGTATGTATGTATGTATGTATGTATGTATGTAATGTATGTATGTATGTATGTATGTATGTATGTATGTATGTATGTATGTATGTATGTATGTATGTATGTATGTGTATGTATGTATGTATGTATGTATGTATGTATGTATGTATGTATGTATGTATGTATGTATGTATGTATGTATGTATGTATGTATGTATGTATGTATGTATGTATGTATGTATGTATGTATGTATGTATGTATGTATGTATGTATGTATGTATGTATGTATGTATGTATGTATGTATGTATGTATGTATGTATGTATGTATGTATGTATGTATGTATGTATGTATGTATGTATGTATATGTAATGTATGTATGTATGTATGTATGTATGTATGTATGTATGTATGTATGTATGTATGTATGTATGTATGTATGTATGTATGTATGTATGTATGTATGTATGTATGTATGTATGTATGTATGTATGTATGTATGTATGTATGTATGTATGTATGTATGTATGTATGTATGTATGTAAGTATGTAATGTAATGTAATGTAATGTAATGTAATGTAATGTAATGTAATGTAATGTAATGTAATGTATGTATGTATGTATGTATGTATGTAATGTAATGGTATGTATGTATGTATGTATGTATGTATGTATGTATGTATGTATGTATGTATGTATGTATGTATGTATGTATGTATGTATGTATGTTATGTATGTATGTATGTATGTATGTATGTATGTATGTATGTATGTATGTATGTATGTATGTATGTATGTATGTATGTATGTATGTATGTATGTATGTATGTATGTATGTATGTATGTATGTATGTATGTATGTATGTATGTATGTATGTATGTATGTATGTATGTATGTATGTATGTATGTATGTATGTATGTATGTGTATGTATGTATGTATGTATGTATGTATGTATGTATGTATGTATGTATGTATGTATGTATGTATGTATGTATGTATGTAATGTATGTATGTATGTATGTATGTATGTATGTATGTATGTAATGTATGTATGTATGTATGTATGTATGTATGTAATGTATGTATGTATGTAATGTATGTATGTATGTATGTATGTATGTATGTATGTAATGTATGTATGTAATGTATGTAATGTATGTATGTAATGTATGTATGTATGTATGTATGTATGTATATGTAATGTATGTATGTATGTATGTATGTATGTATGTATGTATGTATGTATGTATGTATGTATGTATGTATGTATGTATGTATGTATGTATGTATGTATGTAATGTATGTATGTATGCATGCATGCATGTATGTATGTATGTATGTATGTAATGCAATGTAATGTAATGTAATGTAATGTAATGTAATGTAATGTAATGTAATGTAATGTAATGTAATGTATGTATGTATGGTAGGTAGGTAGGTAGGTAGGTAGGTAGGTATGTATGCATGCCTGCATGAATGTATGTATGTAATGCATGTATGCATGTATGCAATGTAATGTAATGTAATGTATGTAATGCATGTATGTATGTAATGTAATGTAATGTAATGTAATGTAATGTAAAGTAATGTAATGTAATGTAATGTATGTATGTAATGTGATGTAATTTAAAGTAATGTAATGTGATGTTGTGTAATGTAATGTATGTATGTATGTCTGTATGTCTGTATGTCTGTATGTATGTATGTATGTATGTATGTATGTATGTATGTATCCTTGCACTTCCCCTTTGCTCCCCAGTATTTCCCGCAAAAAACACAATTTTTCCAGCGTTTTCGCAAAGATGATGTCCCAAAACACAGAGTTTTTCCAGATTTTCGGCAAAAGGATGCAGGAAGCCCAAGCCAGCAAAAAAGCCGGCAGGGGGAATCGAGCCTGGGACCCCTGTTTTGCGACTCCGGGTCCCCGAAGACTACGTTTAGTGGAACGTCATCAAATTGCCGCGCGGTCCTTGGGGGGGGCGGGGCCCGGGGGGGGTTAGGGGGGGGGGTTATCCTCTATCCTCTCTTAGGTGTCCGACACGCCGAGCAAGTCGGCGGACATTATAACTAAATTTGCTGGAATATCCCCTAATAGGACCGGTGTTGGGATTGCTGCGAAATTGGCAGGTTTAGTATTAATTGGTTTAGACTTGGCGTATGCCACAGGTAGTATTGGGCATCCGGCGGTCTGGAAAAGAATATCTGTTGATTAGGATCATTTATGCATAGGGAGAGGGGTTACTTGTTTTCTTGCTGGCACACCTTTGCGGCAAGTTTTTCCTCGCCAAGGTACGGCGAGCTCTTGTACAACGGCGTCCAGGTGCAATTAATACATTCATGATGGCTCGTGTTTTCTTTTATTTTGCCAAGCGCAATGTGCACAATGCAATACACACACACATATATATATATATACACAGATGTATACATGCATGTGTGTGGTTTTGTTCATGCACGCCCAAGATGAGCTGTCAATCCAAACGATTGGCTAATTAAGCAAACAAGATAGTGCTCAGTCAATCAACGATTTATTCAAGCAACCAATCAAGGAACCAGCCAACCAATCAAACAATTAATCAATCGATCGATCAATCGATCGATCGATCGATCAATCAATCAATCAATCACGCAGTCAACCGTTCAATCACTCAATCAATCAAGCAATCTATCCATGCATGTATGCACCCATCCTGCCTGCCTGCCTGCCTGCCTGCCTTCCTTCCATCCATCCATCCTTCCGTGCATCTATCCATCCATCCATCCATCCATCCATCCATGCATGCATGCATGCATCCATGCATCCATGCATCCATGCATCCATGCATCCATGCATCCATGCATCCATGCATCCATGCATCCATGCATCCATGCATCCATGCATCCATGCATCATCCATCAACCCTTCAACCCTTCAACCTATCAATCCATTAATCATTCGACTGATCGATCGATCGACCAACCAGCCAATCAATCAAGAAGTCACTCAGTCCCTGGGTCAGCCACTCAGTCACTCAGTCAGTCAAGCAGTCAATCGATCGAGCGATCATCCAACCAATTATTCAGTCAATCAATTGATGGATCGAAGGATCGATCAATCAACCAACTAGTCAATCGATGGATCAATGGATGGATCGATCAATCAATCAACCAACCAATCAATCAATCAGGCAAGCAAATAAGCAAGCAATCATCGAATCATTGAATCATTGAAGCATTCAATCAACCATCAGCCAATCAACCAACCAATCACTCAGTCAACGTTTGAATCACTTAATCAATCACGCAATCAGTCAATCAGTGAAGCAATCCATCCATCCATGCATCCATCGATCCGTCCGTCCGTCAGTCCATCCATCCGTCCATCCATCCATCCATCAATGAACCAAGTATTCAAGTCAATCAAGTCAATCAAGTCAATCAAGTCAATCAAGTCAATCAAGTCAATCAATCAACCAACCAACCAACCAACCAACCAGCCAATCAATCAATCAATCAATCAATCAATCAATCAATCAATCAATCAATCAATCAATCAATCAATCACTGAACCACCGAATCACTGAATCACTCAATCAACAACTCACTCAATCATTTATCAACCAACCACTTCATCACTCAATCACTCAATCACTCAAGCAATCAAGCAATCAATCAATCAATCAATCAATCAAGCAATCAATCAAGCAACCAACCAACCAACCAACCAAGCAATCAACCAATCAAGCACTGAACCAACCAACCAACCAACCAATCAATCAATCAATCAATCGATCGATCAATCAATCAATCAATCAATCAATCAATCAATCAATCAATCAATCAATCACTGTTTCACCGAATCACTGAATCACTCAATCAACAACTCACTCAATCATTCCTTTCCCAATCACTTCATCACTCAATCACTCAAGCAACCAACCAACCAACCAACCAATCAATCAATCAATCAATCAATCAATCAACCAATCAACCAATCAACCAATCAATGAACCAACCAACCAACCAATCAAGCAGTCAAATCAATCAATCGATCGACTTATTTGTCTATGCGTTCCGGTTCTGTTGGCCAGCGTGCACCATGGGTTTATGTAAGCGCCCTAGGAGGACGATTGTGTGCTTAATGCAACATATTATCCTTTTTCCCTTCGCATTCAAGAGGCACACATCAAAGATTATAGCATCGAGTATGTCTTGAGATTCTTGATCACAATATGTTGGGAGAGGTCGCTTGGTAATACCCTCCAAGAAGCGAGGTGACCCTTCTCACGTTTGCAACAATCACGTCTTCAGATGGTGGTTTCACAACCAAACGCTTTCCTGAGGTTTGCCCATGGTTGCAAGAAGTGTAAGGAGTCACCTTGCGCTCGGTGACTCGGTGTTTGGACTGGTCACATGGGCGGGGCTAGAGCCCTTCCGAATGCGCAGAACGTGGTAGCGGACCACTTGAAGATCGTTGCGCAAAGCTGCATCGAGTGCCTGTAGCTCAGGGAGCTGGACGCACCCTGAGGTCTCTCATGCGGAGTAGACATGATGGCTGGTATACGCACCGGATTAAGTGCATGTGGTCTTGCCGAGAAGAGAACTTGTAAGCTTGCCGTGTCAAGTTAAGAGGGATGACCGGATCTTGTGCCTAATATTGAGAGTATGCTTGAAGTTGCACACGCACACGGATGTCAGTGAAAAGTAGCAAACAGTGCTATTGCCGATCGTGGCAAACAACTTGCTGATCAACACATAAGCTCGAAATGTCATCTTCCTTGCTGATACAACCGTTAGCGAAGCAGCGGTGAAACGAGTTTTCGCCCTGGGATTGTTTGCTTGTGGTACTCTTTCGTGACACTTATATGTGTGGGTGACCTTCTTCGCATGCATCAAGAAGCACGGTTGACACTGAGCAAAGCGCATGTTAACTGTGACGCAACAAGATTCACATGCGCTGGAAACAATTCTTGATTTTTATTTTTATTTTTGTTCAGTTCTTTTTTATTGTCATGATTAATTTCCCCCTCTCACACCAAAATGGCCGCAAGCTTCAAGAAGTCCACTGCAAAT